AGTCTCTGTCCATGAGGCGGCCTCTTATGCCTCTGCCTTAATGGCTCTTAGGGTTCTGATCTTGACATCAGCAGCCCCAACCACTCCCTTTCTGTATGTCTAGTCAGTATTTTTCCCCCTTTGGTGTTTTATGAAGCCATATCAGTGAATTTGTATCATCTTTCCTACTTGAGTAGCCCAAAGTCAACCCCAAATCTGGTAGTCCCTGAAGCCTAACAGAACAGGTAGAGCCAGCCAAGTAAAGGAATTTGGCTGAGAGCTCCCTTCCAGTCCCGTAGTCATGTCCTTATAGATAGGAGCAAGCTAGCTTTCCCAAAGAAAGTGTCCGAGAGCGTTTGATGATTTTACTTAAAGATATGAGCTTTGTGTTTCCACCTAGTCTTATGAAAGGTTCACAGGTGCTGCCTTGAGGGGTTTCACATCCTGCCTTCTTAGAAACAGTTACAGTACTTTTTGTTTCCTTTTACCCAAACCAAAAAATGAATGTTTCATGTCTGTTTAATATTTTGGAAGGATCTGTACAATGGAAATTTTGTCATTTCCCTAAAACTGATGATGCAAAGGCCTATGCTCTGGGAAAACCTTTGGCTGGGGATGGGCAACTCTGTTCAATGGGATCTTCTTTGATTTGATGTTCCCATTATTTTCTCAATTCTGGGAAGCCTAGTACAATGGTACTAATGTAATCACTGAAGCCTTTTCTTAAAATAAAGGAAGGGGCCAACCCTGGATTAAGCTACAAATTCTGGGGATTTGGGGGTTTGCTGTAAACCCTAACAATGGGTTTTGGTTCTCATGTAAATGCAACTTTGATTTTTTTTTTTAAGGACTGGCCTTTCACATTCTTGTATCCCTCATGCTTACCATCTCAGCAGGCCTGAGAGACAGGGTCAGTTTGGGTGTTAATCGTGAGTGTTGCTTCTGCTATGGATCTGAGGAACATGGGACGTTGCTGAGACTGTGGGATGGAAGTAAGCACTGAAGGGAGGGTGAAATCCCTGCCCTTGTTCCAGAGGGGAGTTATTCTCTAGCAATGGAATGCTGTGGTCATTTTCTCTAGCATGTTCCCTTGGGAAAGCCTAGGTTTGCTTAGAATCTGGCTGAGAATCTAAATTCTGTGCCTTAGAAACAATTTGCACTTTCCCAAATTGTGCCTGGGATATCCATATGATTTTTCCCACCAAACAGCTATGCAAACAGAAAAACCACTTCAAAGGTGGCAGCCATGCTTAGGTAAAAAGTGAAAGGTTCAGTGGCAGAACTGCCTTTGAATGGTTTTCTGTAGCTAATTCTCTACTTTTCTTTATGCAGTGCTAGGTTTTCCATAGTATTGCTTTTGAGTTACAGTATAACCTGAGTTACTCCTCTGCTCTGCATTGTTGCTGAAGAACTAGCTTATTGTTAGCCAGATGTTTGAAAGATTGAGGGTGGAGTGGTTTGGCATTTCTGTTTTAAATAAACATTTAAACTCTCAATCAGTGCTATGCCTCAGTAAGTCTGTGCATGGACCTTAGTCACTGGGGATGAAACACTCAGATTCTGGGCCTTCATGAATCTTTAATTCAGTGGTCTGTAACAGAAACAATGCAAGGGACATTTGCACAGAAATAATCTTTGCCTCTTTTCAATTTCTTTTTTAATGTTTTCATTTTATTTTTTATAGTTAGAGGAAAGGGAGTCAATTTATTTACTTTTATTTTTTATATGTTTTTATTGATTTTTTTTTAGAGAGATAGAAATATCAATGTGAGAGATAAACATTAATCAGCTGCCTTCTGCACACCCCTACTGGGGATGAGCCCACAACCCAGGAATCGAACTGGGACCTCTCAGTCCATGGGACGATGCTCAATCTACTGAGCTGCACCAGCTTTTTCTTGCCAATAGAATCATTTCTGCTGCTACAGCTTCTCCCCCCAACCCAAACTTCTGAAATATAGTTCTTAAAATGCAGAGGGAGAAAAAAGGAGCCATTAGAAAAGAAAGGATCACTTCTTGTACTTGCCTCCTCATCCGTGGGCTTTTTCAAGTGATAATGCCAGTTTATGTTTATAAAACTGGTTTCCCTCAAAGAGGGTGAACTATATTTTAGGCTCCCTGGCACAGCACGGCCAAGTTATAGCTTTTCTTGGCTGAGCATTTCACTAAAGTTTAAAGTAAAAGGAGCCTTAAATTCACATTTCATTTAGCTTGCCATATATTTGGAAACAATAATAGAACAACTCTGGAACAAAGATGTAAATAAATTCTTTTAAATGAGTATCCCCTGGGCCTAAAAAGCATTATGATAGTGTCAGGGCTACAAAACATGCTCCTTCCTGCAATAGCCAAAAATCATGTATTGCTTCAATAATTAACTATGGAAACAAAAATACCACTAAACCTCATAGAATCACACCATTAGGGAGAAAAATACTGTATCACATCTCTGCTACCTCCTGTGTAATTGTGAAGAGTGATAAATTGATCACACACACACACACACACATGCTGGCCAAAAGGTACTGTGCTGCCTGAAACATAAAACAATTCAATACATTGCTGTTAAGAAGCACGCCCTGGCCGGTTTGGCTCAGCGGTTAGAGCGTCCGCCTGCGGTCCGGAGAGACCCGGGTTCGGTTCCCGCTAAGGGCATGTACCTCGGTTGCAGTTTGTCCCCAGCCCTGGTTGGTCGTGCAGGTGGCAGCCACTCGATGTGTCCCTTCACGTCGATGTTTCTCTCTCTCTCTCCCTTCCTCTCTCTCCCTCCCACTCTATCTGTACAAAAAATGGAAAAATGTCCTCAAGTGAGGATAAAAAAAAAAAAAAAAAAGAAGCACTATTGCCCTGGCCAGTGTGGCTCAGCTAGAGTGCCATTCAGGGCACATATGGGAGGCAACTGATCAATGTCTCTCACACATTGATGTTTCTCTCTCCTCTCCTCCCTCTCAAAAAAAAAAACAAAACAAAAAAAGGCATTATCTTAGCACCTCTGTACACACTTTTAAAATTAAATGAAGTGAGTTACCATGAGATTTTTCCCACTGCTTAACCTTTTGAACTTTAAACGTTGTAACATTTACTTGCACTGAAGGTTCCTGGATGAAGTAGTATAACACATAGACTAACAAGTAGCATCTATTTCCCCACGCATCATCCTCTATTATCCAGGAAGAGACAGAGAGCAAAAGGTTTCTAACCTCTTCCCAAAGATCAGATGAAGCTAAATTTAAAAGACTAATAATAGACATTGCTAACATAATTAAGGCTGAAGCACATTGATATTGAAGGGGACACTGACACTATTGTTGTATTTCTCTAGCAACATAGTGAATAACTGCTTCCTGTGTCTGTGGTAAGCACACCCCCCCCCCCCCCCACACACACACACACACAACATTTGTTCTTCCCAGAGGGCCTTGGTCTGTAACCTTAATAACATCATCCAGGGATCCCAAACCCAGTGCCTATGGGGCCAGGCAATAGGTGAAACAGGCCAGGTGGGGCTGTGGTGATCTGAATGCTCTACCCTCTCAAGGAGCAACCGATTCTGAACTTCATTCGATTAGTGCTAAGCTGGGGCGGCTTGCCTGGTGTTTCCAGAACTTCCAGTTATGTAAGAGATGTTCCATATCCCAATTTTTAAATGCTGGACTATATTTTTAGTATTATGCCCGCCAAATAAAACATATCTGTGGGTCAAAGCAGTCCACAGGCCACCACTTGGTAATGCTGGCCACAGCTCATTCTTGCCATCTATTGTTTTTACCATCAAGTGTGAAACAAAGTGTGTGCCTTAGTAAACTTGCCTGGGGAATGTCTATGTGAGGTTTGTTTTGTTTTTTTATCCTTACCCGAGGACATTTTTCCATTTTTTGTTCAGCTAAAGTGGGAGGGAGGGAGAGAGAGAGAAACATCGACGTGTGAAAGGGACACATCAAGTGGCTGCCACCCACACGACCCAACCAGGGCTTGGGACAAACTGCAACCGAGGTACATGCCCTTAGCGGGAACCGAATCCGGGTCTCTCTGGACCGCAGGCCGATGCTCTAACCGCTGAGCCCATCCGGCCAGAGCTATGTGAGATTTCTTTAAGTAGCCAATCAAAAGCCCTAGTATGTGATAATTTTTCTTTGCAACAGTTAAGGGCATAAAACAATTCAATATATTCTGTTTTTAAAATATATTAAAATTTTTTCAGCCTAGTGTCATGTAGCTTCACAGCTAAAGCCTTCAACTCACATTTCAAATTGGTCTGAGTAGTGCTCTCAGGACAATGACCCTACTAGTGTTCCAGGTCTGTTATACAAGCTTCATCCCGATACTACCCCTCAGACATTACCTTATCACTACTCCCACCTGACAAGTCTAGGACTCACTCATTTTATTATTTGTTTAATTTTAAATCCCCAAGACCCATTTATTAAGGGCCTATATAAAGGTTACTTGGGCCAGTTTGGCTCAGCGGTTAGAGCACTGGCCCTCGGACCAGGACCAAAGACTCTTGGGTTCGATTCCTGTCAAGGGCACGTACCTCAGTTGCGGTTTGATCCTGGCCCTGGTCAGGGTCATGGCTCTCACATAGATGTTTCTCTCTCTCCCTCCCTCCCTCCCACTCTATCTAAAAATCAATGGAGCCCTGGCCAGTTTGGCTCAGCAGTTAGAGCATCAGCCCGTGGACCAGAGAGTCCTGGGTTCGGCTCCCACTAAGGGCACATATCTCGGTTGCGGTTCATCCCTGGCCCCTGGTTGGGGTCGTGTGAGTGGCAACCAGTTGATGTGTCTCTCTCACATTGATTTTTTTTCTCTCTCTTCCACCCTCTCTCCCTCCCACTCTGTCTTAAGATAAATGAAAAAAAAAAAAAAAAAAAAGTCCTCGAGTGAGGATAAAAAAAAATCAATGGAAAAATATCCTTGGGTGAGGATTTAACAAAAAAAAAGGTTACTTGCACTAGGCATGATTCTTCACAGAAAAAATTCAAAAGATCTGGCACCTTTTCCTTCAAAGTTTACTTTCTAAAATAGATGTTAACTTGGTATAATCAGCAGGGACACATGACATAGCAATGTCCCAGCTTGCTTTGATGGTACATTTTGCTGCCTCATTTGAAACGCCATCCAACCAATTTACCATCCTGATTTAAAGGCAGTGCTAACAACAGCTGAAACTGAAGTTTCTTCCCCTTTTTTGACATTAGAAAAGAACAGCTACAGAGACAAATAGTGTGCTTTCCCCCATCCCTACCCTGTGAGGTAAAGGTGAGGTCCCCTTTATTACACAGTACACCACAGGGAGGGTTTAGGATATACTGGCACTCTAACATTACTTACTTGTATTGGCTTTCAGCCAAGACCATGTACAAGGGAGGTCAAGGATGGACTTCCATTTGCCTTACAACAAAATCGTATTATTTTTTATAAGAGATATCACCTGGGTGACCATGACCCTCTGATACAAATTCATCATAGTGAGCCAACTTCTTGCAAGTAGAGTTAACAGGAACCACAGACAAACATGCAAAGGCAGTGGCAAGAAGACAGAGCAAATGTAGGTGCTTAGCTAGCTCAAACCACAGGTCAGCTTGTGAGAAGAGAGCTTTCTTGTAGTCTTCTTGCTACTTTTAAGGGTCTTCACCCATCGGTTCTTAGGGCACACCAGCCTGAGGTGGTAATTTTGTCGGAAGCTAAGGCTTCCTTCTGCCTCCTGCTGCTTAGCAATGGGTTTCTCCTCACCAACTTCAGCTCTGCAGGCAGATCCGGGAGATGTAAAACTTTTAGTTCTTCCTGCTTGGCATCAAATTATTCTACTCCCATTTACTGCTGAAGAGAAGCAGAACTTTCTGGAACTATTGAGATTTCCACTGTTATGTGCTCAAGTGTAATGCTTCCTTGGAGGCGGAGGACAGTTCTTGATGGTCTTACACTTGGGAATGTGCTGCTCAGCCACCTTGGGAGCAAAGTGACAGCTACAATGAGGACACTGAATATAGTCTGGATTTTCTGCAGGCAGGATGGGAGGCAAGTCTGAGGGGTTTCCACCTTTGGCAATTACCTGCTGGACCTCTCGAGCCTGGCGGAGGGTACGGATGAAGGATTCATGCTTCTGTCTCCAGTTGCTCTTCCGAGGAGGTTCAGCCTATAAGTAGAAGGAAGACCAACCATTCAACTTAGCATTTATCTCATCTCCTGAGTATCCACTAGAATGACAGTAAGGAAATAGGGTATTAATCCACAAGGTCAAAGAAAACAGGAAAGGAGCAATAGGGAAAACTGACTTGCCCGAGTGGAAGCAATTAATCCCATGGCCTGCAAAGGGGGATGAGTACTGAGAGGCAAGCATGTTCCCCAGCAGAGACCTGGAGAGCCTTAGTGCTTGCAAGTGCCAGGGCTGCTATCCCACCCTGCACATCCTCACCTCAGAACAGGGGTTTATTCTCTGGAGAAATTGAATTGGACAGGTGTCAGACTCAGGAAATCCAGGCACAGCAATAAAAAGTTATAGTGTTAAAAAATTAATAATAGCCCTGGCCGGTTTGGCTCAGCGGTTAGAGCATCGGCCTGCGGTCCGGAGAGACCCGGGTTCAGTTCCTGCTAAGGGCATGTACCTTGGTTGCAGTTTGTCCCTGGCCCTGGTTGGTTGTGCAGGTGGCGACCGTTCGATGTGTCCCTTTCACATAGATGTTTCTCTCTTTCTTTGTTCCTCTCTCTCCCTCCCACTCTACCTGAACAAAAAATGAAAAAAGGTCCTCAGGTGAGGATGATAAAAAAAAATAAAAATAAAAATAAAAAATAAAAAATTAATAATAAAAAAAAGAAATGACCCTGGCCAGTGTGGCTCAGTCCCATTGACTGAGAGGTCCTGGTTCAATTCCAGGTCAGGGCACATGCCTGGGTTGCAGGCTTGATCCCCAGTAGGGGGCGTGCAGGAGGCAGCCAATCAATGTTTCTCTTCCTCTCTCTCTAAAAAAATCAATTTAAAAAAAACGTTTTAAAAAATGAAAACAGAGTGACTCTTATGTTGCTAGAATATTAGAGCTGGATGGGGCTTTGAGATCATGAGGTCTAGACTTTCCCAAATTTTGAACATTTGCATATCATTCACTTTATCCCCCAATTAATATATTTCTTTAAATTCGTGATTTCTAGAAATCAAGTGTGTAATATGTTATATTTTTCTAATATACACTAAAACTACTAAAAAAAAGTCTGTCAGCATGCCACACTTTGAGAAATACTCATTTATAAAATAAATGGCATAACCTTGACAGTGTAGTGGAGTTATTCATGGGACAGTCTCCTCCAGATCTGACGGTCCAAATATGCCTATGAAGTTCCCCTAAGCTTATCATGAAAATGTCCCGAAGTTCTCACTTTTTACAACCTAGTTTTTCTGCAGCTAGGAATGTTAACCCAAAATAAAGTCAGTTATCTTTAAGGTGTTTACATGCTAAATGAAGCAAAGAATTCCAAACTTAATTGTGTTTCATGTATTTATTCTGAAAGTATATCAAAATTGAACTAATCTTGAAAAAGATATGGTTACAGGAGTGGTAATAGATTCTAATCTGAGGAAATGGCAAAGTATATTGCAAAGTAAAAGGAATTCTCTCAAGAAAGTGAAATGCTTTTTTCTTTATACTTTTTGTGTCTTTTAAGTTTTCTACAGTGAATGTTTATTACTCTTATAATCAAAAGGAGATATATATATTTATATATCAAAAAATATATATATTTGTTGTTGTTTTTGTTGTTAATTCTCACCTGAGGATATTTTTTTCCACTGAATATTTTAGAGAGAGTGGAAGGGAGGGAGAAGGAGAGAAACGATCAGTGTGAAAGAGCCACATGAATTGATTGCCTCCTGCATGTCCCCGGGCCATGGATCAAACCTGCAACCCAGGTACATGCCCTTGACCGGAATCAAACCCGAGACCCTTTGATGCGTGGGCTGACGCTTTAACCACTGAGCCACACCAGCCAGGGCTAAAAGGACATATAGGTATAGGTATAGGTATAGGTATAGGTATAGGTATAGGTATAGGTATAGGTATAGATATAGGTATAGGTATAGATATATAGATAGATTTTTTATTCCTCACCTGAATATTTTTCTACTTATCAGAAAGAGTGGGAGGGGGGAAGGGAGGAAGAAAGGGGAAGGGGGGAGAGAGGGGGGGGAGAGAGAGAGAGAGAGAGAGAGAGAGAGAGAAAGAGAAACATCGATGTGATAAAGCCACATCAACTGGTTGCCTCCTGCACGACCTGACCAGGGCCGGGGACAAACTGCAACCAAGGTATGTTCTCTTGACCAGAATCAAACCTGTGATGCATTGGTCTGTGGACCACTGCTCTAACCGCTAAGCCAAACTGGCCAGAGCAGGACATATATTTAGTCTAGATTTTAGAGTCATTTCAACCCAGATTTATATGCTGACTCTGCCATTTACTGTTTGTGATCTCAAACAAGTGTTAATTCTCACTTTCTCCCTTTATGACAATTGAAATTTTCTTAAAAAACAAAACAAAACAAAAACACCTTATGAGGATATAATAACAGGACCGTACAATGATCCCCACTCAAAATAAAATCTATAAGGCCCTTGTTACCTTGACTGAGGATGGTCCCTTCCAGTTCAAGTATTGCTCTAGTTCGGTGCCCTTGGCCCGGGCCCTGGAGGAGTCAAACACTTTCCTCTTGGAACCCTGCATCCTGCTGCAGACGTTGGAGTGTCTCTCCAGCCTGGGTAAGAGAAACTTTCGTCCACAGTGGCTGCACTCGCCCAGTTCTGGTTCTTCAGAGGAACAACTGGAACCTGAGGAGTCTGGTGCCCTCGGCAAGTTAGAATTGCTGGTGGGCCCTGGCAAAGCACTGCCTGGTGCTTCTGTAGGCTGAGAAAATTTCTCCTTCACCTGCCCTGAGGCTTGGTCTCGGATTTTGTTATTGCTTGCCACTAGTCTTTCCCTTTTGAGCTTCTGTATTCCATAATCAGATAACTGGAATGGACTAGAATTTTCTTGAGACCGTCCCCATGTTTTATCCTCTCCACTGTCTCCACTGAAGACCTCCTTAGACCTGTATTCTGGGGAGAAGATAGGTTTGTACGTGGTGTTGCTATTACCTTTAACTCTCCTGCGGAGTGTCAGTCTCTGCAACTCTCTTTTTTCACTTTCCTCAGCCTGTTCTTTTTCCTTCTGGATCTTTCTAAGTTCCTCTTCTGTCCTCTTCAGCTTCTGCCTCAAGAGGGTTTCTTTTCTTCGGATTTCTTCCTCTAAATTCTCCCCTGCAGCTTCTAGTCTTTGGATCTGTATCCACTCAGTCCTGGGGTTTGCCATGGGCCTCTCTTCCTGCGTGGCAGCAACAGTATCAACCACAGATGAATTCGTCCAGTTCCTCAAACCAAAGCTGCTGTTTGAAAACTCCCTTGGCTCAGGGGGTCTTGGAGAGATATTCTGGTCTCCATCCATGCCAGTCTCACCTGTACTACGAGACTTCCGATGGAACACGGGTTTCAGTGGGTATGCCCGGTCCACTCCAACTCGCTTCTTTGTAAAAGGGATGAATTTCTGGTTATTTGCTTTGGGATACTGGCATTGAGGGCCTGATGAGTAAAACAAACCCTTTGCTTGGCTCTGGAGATTGCTTCTTGGATCTTGCTGGCTGACTCCAGCATCGTGAGGATAGTAGCAACTCCGGGCTTTTGCACAGGTATTCCATTTGGGGTGAGTGTAGGGATTATTCAGCGTTGGCTCTTTGTTGCTCAAAAGCTTCTCTTGGGAATTGTTCCTCAGGAGCCCCATCGAGGACAGCTGGGAAGAGTCACCTTTTTCATAAGGGTCTTGCTTAGTTGAGTGGAGCCTTGTAGTTTCTATTTTATTATAGGAGAGCATAACACCCAGGGTAGAGGTAGTGCCAAATGGAGACCAGCCATTCAGGGCCTGGACTGAAGCCTGGGGGAGATTTAGATCAGATATATGTAAGAACGTTGTCTGAAGTTCACTGCTGTCACTAAAGCAAACTGTTTATACATTTGTCCTACCCACATCTTCCTTAAAGCTTTTTAGTGACAGTGGTGCTGGGTCTGCTAGTGCTTTCCTTCAGTAAGCATTAGGTGAGCACTTCTTTTGTCCTGTGAGCGCTTATTAGGTCCTGAGGATAGAAAAACAAATGTGATACAGGTGCTCCTGCCACCTACCTTTCCCCTGTACCAGTACCAGTCTCTGCTGTACAGTGATGCTCCTGCCATACACCATATTCTCCATACAGGTGGGAAAAGCCACTGGAAAGAGCTATGGGATTTAAAGCCAGGTTTTAGTCCTGTGACACAGGACAAGCAACTTCCCCTTTGCTGGCTCCAGTTTTTCCACCATAAACTGAGGGGTTTGCTCACAGTTGCATGACTGTAATTTAGGGACCTGAGGACTCTATATCCAGCCCCATCATTTTACAGGTGAGAAAACTGCGGCCCAGAGTTAAGTGACTGGCAAAACCAGCTCTCTGGGCTTCCCTCCCGCTGGATCTGTGCTTGACTCCAAGGAGCAAAGAGGCCGCTAGGGGCCTGCAGCAGGTGCCTGGCTGTCAAACCCTCACCCTGAGTCCCCCCTGCGCAGACGGAGGGAGGTCTGTACCCTGAGAAGCGGGGAACCACCTGACCTGACCGCCGCGAGGTTTAGATCCGAAACACGGAAGTCACATTCTGTCCTGGGGGGTCAGCCCGGGCGCCCCTATTGGAGACAAGCCTCCACTCTTTTGTCCATCGCGCCCTTGGGAGGTCGAGGTCCTGACCCCATGTCTCCCCGCCCTTCCGCGTACCTAAGGCTCTCAGGGACAACTGCTCAGGGAAAACCTCCGGGGTTAGTTTTCCGGATCAAACCCCACCACTCAACCGACGGCCGCGCAGGCGCTCACAGCTGGCCCCTGTTATTCCCGTTGCCTGGAGACGGGAGCGCGTGCGCGCCCAGCCCCGCCCCTCGTCGCGAACGCCTCGGGGGCATCACGCACAGGCGCAGTCGGAAAGCGAATGGGAGCGGCCCAGGGGTGGGTGCGGTCGATCTGACTGTCCCTTGACCCGGTGAGCCGCCAACCCTGCAGTTCCGTGCCCTTGGGGAAGGGAGGAGGGGACGGCAGAGGCTTTTCTCGGACTCCATAAAAAAACTGGTATTTTTCTGAGATCCATGACCCCACACCCTGCCGTGTGCCCTACTCTGGCAGAAGGCCCTAGCTACGCCCTCGAGTCATTGTGCCGCTGGATTCCGAGGTCCGCCCACTTAGCGGGTGTGGGCCTACTGATGGCCTTTCTGAGCACGCTCCGCGGCTCGGTACCGGCCCCAGGTATGGCGATAGAATACCTCTCCGTGCTTTTCCTCGCCCATAGTTGAGACTTTGCAGTCAAATTTTAGCAATTCGGCCAGGTTTTGCTAGGCATTATCTTTCTGGGGTAGTTTTATAGCCAATCTAATTATTTTGATATAATGTTTTACTCTCACGTGGTAACTCTGGCAGCCTCTTAGGGCCCAAGAATGACTCAAGCAAATGTAATGGTAATAAAGCTAACTATCAGATCGAAAATAATCAGTATAACCTGGTTTCAACCCTAAATGATACTCTATGATTTGTTAACTTCAGAAGAGTTTATTTGCTTCATGCATCAGTTTATTTGTGTAAACTGTTTGGAACAGGCAACTTTTTTCCTGTAACTACTTAAAAGATTCATGCACATGGAAAATAGTATAGACAGCAGTCGTCGGTGTTAATATGTTAACATGTCACAATACAGCTTTTACATATTACAAAGAAATTCCTTGGTGGGTCCTCCGAGGCATTTTTTTTTTTTTAATTCCTTGTTTTCTTTCCTAGTTGACTCTCTACTGCCTTCTCTATAGTGTATGTAGTTCCAGACATTTCCCACTCTTCTTAAGGTTCCAATTATCTCAGCATTCAGGCCTGCCTGTCATCAACTCCCGTCCTGTCTGGCAGAATTTCCTAGAGTGCCTTTCTCCATCTTGACTTACTTTCTTCTTGTTTTTGAGGAAGAAGAATCTTTCTCTTTCCATGAGATTCTTGAATTAGTCCCTTTCAGGGACGGACTTTATCTTGTTAACTTAAAGATGTCTCTATCCACATACTCCTTCTCTTTGGTATTAAAATACAAGGGTGGGGGAAAGTAGGTTTACAGTTGTAAAACAAATAAACAATAATACAAGAATAGACTTTGTGTTTCCCATACTCACAACTGTAAACCTAGTTCACCCCACCCCTGTATGCTTAAATTTCCCTACAAAACAGACCTATTTCCCTTGACCTGCCACCTGTTTTTTAGGGTCCCATTCATTTCTCCTCTTCTTCACAAGACTTCTTGATAGAAAACTTTACATTTGCTGCCCCCACTTCTTCATCTCCCACCTCATTGTCCAGTCCATTGTGGTGTGGCTTCCTTTCCACTTTATTTAACTGCCAGGCTACCAGTGGACATCCAACAACCAAAGACAAAAGCTGCTGCTTCTTCAGCCTACTTATTTGATCTTACTGACTTTCCATTCCACTGGAACTCTTCTCACTTGCTCCTCTGCCTTCTTGGTTTCTTCTTTCATGTTCTTACCTCTTCTTCTTCCAGGCCCCTGGCATTTATCTTTCCCTCATCTACCCCCCAAGTTTAGGTGTTCTCCAGAGCCCTCTTATTTCTCACATATATGCAGGTCTAGACATTCTCTTCCTTAATGGTTTCAACCAAAGGCTGAAATTTTAGGTATCATCTATGTTTAAATGATATCCAACTTAACTCTCTCCTTAGTTACATACTCAAATTTCCAACTTCACATTTAGTTTCTCAGGAATCTCAAACTCAATAGGACAGAAACAGACTCATGATCATCTCCCCATTCCCCCAATTCACTTCTCCAGTGTTCCCTCTCATGCTGAAAGCATCAGTCACCCTCTACAGATCTGTTTTAGTCACCCCTTCCCTTTAACTGCTGGTCAGCAGGTTCTGTTGAATTTATTCTGCAGTGTCTCATATATGACTCTTCCTTTACATTTCTTTTTTTTTTTTTTAATTTTTATTGTTGAATGTAGAATGTATTACAGATGTTCCTCATTTTTCCTCCACTGACCCCTTCCTCCCCACTCCCGCTCCCCTCCCGCCTTTTCCCACACTATTGTCTGTGTCCATTGGTTATGCATATAAGTTCTTTGGTTTATTTCTTCCCACGCCCCCAACCCCTTTCCCTTTGAGGTTTGTCAGTCTAGCAATGAATTTGTACTTCTTAATTCCTTCACTTTTTCCACCCATTCCCCCAACCCCCTCCCATCTGGCAACCAACAAAATGTTCTCTGTATCTATGAGAATATTATTGTTCTACCTGTTCATTTTGTTTGTAGACTCCATTGTTGATAGATATGTATTCATTGCCATTTTGTTTGTTCATATATTTTATCTTTTTCTTCAAAAAGACTCTTCATCATTTCATATAACAATGGTTTGGTGGTGATGAACTACTTTAACTTTTTCCTGTCTGGGAAACTCTTTATATGGCCATCGATTCTAAATGACAGCTTTGCAGGATAGAGTAATCTTGGTTGTAGGTTCTTGCTTTTCATCACTATGAATATTTCTTGCTACTCCCTTCTGGCCTGCAAAGTATCTTTTGAGAAATCAGCTGACAGCCTTATGGGAACTCCCTTGTAGGTAACTAGCCGCCTTTCTCTTGCTGCTTTTAAGATTCTGTCTTTGTCTTGAACCTTTTGCATTTTGATGATGATGTGTCTTGGTGTGGGCCTCTTGGGGTTCATCTTATTTGGGACTCTTTATGCTTCCTGGACTTGTATGTCTGTTTCCTTCACCAAGGTAGGAAAGTTTTCTGCCATTATTGTTTCAAACAGGTTTTCAATTTCTTGTTCTCACTCTTCTCCTTCTGGCACCCCCAAGATGCAAATGTTGGCACGCTTGAAGTTGTCCCAGAGGCTCCTTACACTATCCTCATTTTTTTGGATTCTTTTTTCTTTTTGCTGTTCTGATTGGGTGTTTTTTGCTTCCTTATATTCCAAATCGATGGTTTGCTTCTTGGATTTACGTACTCTACTATTGAATCTGTGTAAATTATTCTTTATTTCAGTTAATGCCTCCTTCATTTCTGACTGTGCATCCATCATTTCTGACTGGTCCTTTTTTATGCTCTTGAGGCCCTCATTAAGTTCACTGAGGTTCTCACTGAGTTCATTGAGCATCCTTATAAGCAGTATTTTGAATTCAGCATCTGTTAGGTTGCTTATCTCCATTTCGCTTAGTTCTTTTCTTGGGTTTTGTTCTGTTCTTTCATTTGGGACCTGTTTCTTTGTCTCCTCATTTTGGCTGCCTCCCTGTGTTTGTTTCTGTGTATTACTTAACAAGCAGTATGAAGCTAGCTGAGACCAGATGCTGCTTGTTTGAAAGAATTTAGGAAAACCTGAAGCAGGATCCAAGACAGGCCAATTCTATGGTTAAGCAAGTGGCAACAGCTTGGGTGAGCCTGAAAGTTGGGCGGGGCGGGGCAGGGCGGGGCTATCAATGTGAGCCAGGTTGCTGGAGTCCCAGATATGGCTTCTGTCTGCCGCCCCAGGGAAGGGCTCACCAAAGGAACAAAGGCCTCTGACAGCACGTTTGTCCCCGAGAAAGCCCCCTCTCCAGCCCTCGCTCCAGTGCCAAACAGCTCAGTTCTTCCCTGTATGTCTCTGGTGCCCCTCGAGCTGCCTCCCCTCCAAGCTTAGAGGGAGAGAGTCCGATAAGTCCCTGCGCAGGCCCTTTAAGGAGCTGCCTGGGGCTCCAGCCGCTTCAGCTTCCCTGAGCCTCAGTTCCTGCTGGTTTTTCCAGCCAGGAATTATGGGGACTTCTCTTCCTGGCACTGGAACCCTGAGTGGGGCACCTAGTGTGGGATGGGGACCCCTCAGTCCTCAGGAAGGACCTTCCCAGCCGAGGTGTCCTCCTGATTTTTATCCGCCACACGTGAGTGTGGGACCAGCCTGTCGATGTGGCCGCTTCTTTAATTCCGTAGTTGTAGGACTTCCATTCAGCTTGATAACAGGCGGTTTTGAATGATGGTTGTTCTGTAGTTTAGTTGTAACTTTGATGTGGTTGTGGGAGGACACGATATTGCGTTTACCTACGCCGCCAACTTGACCGGAAGTCTCTCTTTCTTTACATTTCTACTGTCCTAGGTGAGTTCTTCCTCACTTCTCACTGGGACGATATTCATCAGTGTCCTAAATGCTATTCTTGTCTTCAATATCTGCTCTCCAAACCCACCTTTATGCTGCTGTCAGAGTAATTGTCCTAAATATGTCTGGTCTTATCATTCTCCTACCCAGTGGCTTCTACTTTACCTACAGAATAAAGCTGAGAAGAGATAACTTTAACCTGGTATTTTAACCTCTAGCCTACCTTTCAAGCCCTGCCTCCCCAGAGTCTAGCCCAGTAGATTTCAACCCTGGCTGTACTTTAGTACTACCTGGAAAGCAGTTTCTGGGGATGAGACCTGGGTATGGGCATTTTTAAAAGCTCCTCCTGACGTCTTTTTTTTTTTTTTTTTTTTTTTTTAATCCTCACCCGAGGATATCTTTACTGATTTTTAGAGAAAGAGAGGAGAGCCCTGGCCGGTTTGGCTCAGCGGTTAGAGTGTCGGCCTGCGGTCCTGAGAGACCCGGGTTCGGTTCCCGCTAAGGGCACGTACCTCGGTTGCAGTTTGTCCCCGGCCCTGGTCGGTTGTGCGGGTGGCAGCCACTCGATGTGTTCCTTTCGCATCGATGTTTCTCTCTGTCTCTCTCTCTGTTCCTCTCTGTCCCTCCCACTCTACCTGAACAAAAAATGGAAAAATGTCCTCAGGTGAGGATAAAAAAAAAAAAAAAGAAAGAAAGAAAGAGAGGAGAGAGAGAGAAAGAGAAATATCAGTTGGTTGCCTCTTGTATGCCCAGGTCCACGGGACGATGCTCCAACCAAATGAGCCACCCTGCTGGATCTTCCCCTAAAGTCAGGATTGAGAAACCCTGGTTTATTCACACCTAGTACTGCCTTACCTCAAGCTCAACATACTGGGTGGGAAGTGGTAGAGCAGAGCATTTATGGGAAGAGTGTACTTAGACTGCTTGGAACTAAATCTCAGCTCCATTACTTACTGGTTGTGGTTGAATAATAATGCTGTTTCTTCCAAGAACGTTTCCCAATTTTTCCTAGTTAGAATGAATCTCATTTGTCCTCTTGCAATATTTTCTGTTCTTGTTACTGCACAGGGCTGGCTCATGATGAGTTCTCAATGGATGTTCATGGACTTGGATTAGCATGTTGTACATTGTATTGTCATTATTTGCATGCATATTTGTTCCTTACGCTAAATAAAAAACTCTTTGAGGACAAGGGTTATATATCATCCATATTTATATATCCTACAATGTCCTATACATACTAGACACTCAATTGGTCTTTAATTCTATAGAGAAACCAGTTTTTAAATGAATTTTAGAGAAAGAAATAGTATCAGCCAGGTACTCTGTTTAGCACTATTTTTATTTTTTTATTTTATTTTTTTTAATCCTCACCCGAGGACATTTTTCCATTTTTTGTACAGATAGAGTGGGAGGGAGAGAGAGGAAGGGAGAAAGAGAGCGAAACATCGATGTGAAGGGACACATCGAGTGGCTGCCACCCGCACAACCAACCAGGGCCGGGGACAAACTGCAACCGAAGTACGTGCCCTTAGCGGGAACCGAACCCGGGTCTCTCCGACGCTCTAACCGCTGAGCCAAACTAGCCAGGGCTGTTTAGCACTATTTTTAAATATCGCCGAGCATAACATTCGATCTAGCTTCCTACCCCACCCCCACCCCCACCCCCACCCTTATGCTAGCACTAAGGTTTTATGACTCTTCAGTATCCAGAACCTCATTTTGTAGTGGAGAACTAATGAAATGATTAATATCTATGGCTTCCATTGCAAATCTATTTCCCCTTGCCAAGTCTGCCAACATTGCACATTCACATATGGAGTCTTTTTTTTTTTTTTAGAATAGTTTGTTGATTTTTAGAGAAGAAGGGAGAAAAGAGAAACATTAGCTGCCTCCTTGCACGCCCCCTACTGGGGATCCAGCGGAAACCAGGCATGTGCCCTAACTGGGAATTGAACCAGCAACCTCTGTGCAGGGTGGAGGCCCAGCCAACTAAGTACTGCCTTACCTCAAGCTCATATAGAGTCTTATGTTACGAAGAGGTGTGATGTATACAAACAATCCAAAGGTAGGCTCTGGTGGGCAGCTTCCAGTAGCACAGAAGGAGAAATAACCACCACTAGGAACTCTTACACACCTATCTCCCCTGCTCCCAATTTCACACTTAGGCATGACTTAAAATTTGAGAACTGAAAGAAAAAGTCAAGGTAGGAAGGTTGCATGTGTCCTATTCAATTTATTTATGATGTTTAATGTTTATTTATCATCTGTCTCCCATCTCCAGACTTTAAGCTCCTCCGGGAATTCTTTTTTGTTCACTAATGTATGTCAGCTACTACCTAGAACTGTGCCTGACCCACAGAAGGCCCTCAGTAAATATTTATTGAATGATTGGATTTATCTTGCATTTCTTCATCTATGTCTTTCTTCCTATGAGAAAAGGGATGCACTTAGTGGTTGAAAAGGGGTGAGGGCTAGGTCTGTAGAATCTGCTCAGTGCTGACACCCTGGACAGATCCCCAACTCGAGGCTCTCCTGCTCTCCGGGACAACCGGGTCCTAAAGTCCCACCCTCTGGGCGGGCTCTGGGCCGAGCATGCCGTCCCTGATTGGTTGGCGCACTTGATGGGCATGTGAAACAGCCAAGGAAGAGCTGTGCTCCGAACTTCCGGGCTGGCGGTTAGGCACTGTGGGAACCGTTGGCGTGGTGGTTGCCGGTGTTGTCCTGGCCGCCTGACTAGAGGACCAGGAGGGTGAGCCTGGGCCCGGCCCGGGGCATGCTCATCAGTTCGATTAGCCTTAGATGTTAGTAGAAGGGGGATCTGGTGGCCGTGTTGAAAGCGAGGTCTGTGGAAAAGGAAGGGATGGGGAGGGAGCGGGACCGGTGTGAGAAGGTAATGGTATAACAAGACAATTGTCCCCAAAGAAGCCTCTGGGCAATTGCGACCTGAAGCTCCCTTGTCCAGGTAGCTTCCTGTTACTTCACACACCCGCGCTGACTCGTATCTGCCTACATACTCTGAAGTTCGGGGACCTTAAGGTCTGGGAGGGGTGGAGGATGTAGAAGTGTGGGTGTGACCCTTTCTGCCTCAGCATTGGGGGGTCGTGGTATAGGATAATGAGTTCTGTTTACTTTTCTGTTTTCCTGGTTTCTGACAGGTTTGAGCAGGAACATGGCAGAAGGGGACACCCTGATATCAGTGGATTATGAAATTTTTGGGAAGGTACAAGGGGTGTTTTTCCGAAAGTACACGCAGGTATGTGGCCTACAGGCTTTTAGGACATGCCTAGGTTATGTGCATGGAAACAAGGGACATGTTCCTGACAAAGGGCATTAGGAGAAGCTGGCTATTTAGTAGCTGCATGACAGAGGTGGTTTGTAGAGCAGTGGGTATGGAAATGCTTTGAAGTGGGTAAAATACAATGTAAATGGCAGGTTCATCTGCTGAGAGTGTGTGTGTGTGTGGGGGGGGTGTTTTCTAACAGTGATACTTGAGTATCTAGACACTTATTAATGAGCTTCTCTCTTCCAAAGGGGATTAGAGGGCTTCCCAGTCCTCCCTGTTGTGGCATCATCAAACCAGTCACAGTTCTTGTAGGAAAGCTAACGCTAATCAAGGAGATGGCATTTAGATAAACTCATGACATTCATATAATTTATGTAATAGCTTCTATAGCTGCTGTATTTTCTTCAGACCTCTTTCACTTCTTCAACCTTTCTCCATTCCCCCATTTAATTCATTTCTGCTCATTTTGGCTTTGAAAGAAGAATTGAATTTTCCAGCTGAAGCTTTTCTAATGAAAATACTTAATCCATTCCAGGATAAGTAATGGTAGCACTGAACATGGAGTCTGGTGTTCCTACTAGAATACTAGGGAGTAATTGAGGGGGATGAACAAACTACTGACAGCTTCTACTTCTGCCTTAATGTCATTAATCTTCCCTTAACATGCACACAGAAATGCAATCTCAATTTCCCTCCTGTCTTCTGTTGGGTGTTATCATGCTATTGCCCAGTGTATCTCCAACCCCTAAGATAATGAGTTAAGACCTCAGAACTTTCCAAGTGTCACATTCCCGGGACTGTAGTACTTAAAATTCAACCTGAATCTTTTAAATATGAATGTTAAATGTCATGATCTCTTTTCCCAATTACTTGCAAATCATCTTCTCCTGTTTCACACTTGTATAAGAAGTGCCTGTTGAAAATCATAGCAAAAGAGCTATGTTCCAGTTAGCTTTGCTACCATTTATGCAGGGTAAGTTCCTGTGATGTAGTAAATGGAGGTGACCGGCCAGGGCTATATGTTCATTTTAACAGTTGTGTTGTTTTGCTACAGTCTTTTGAATGTTGATACCATCTTGCCTCTTAATTAAATTCTATCACTCCTAGAATGACTAAGGAGAATACTTGAAGGGACTTTTTTAAAGTAAGAATATAATTCACATCCATAAAACTCACCTTTTTAAAGTGTATATTTGAGCCCTGGCCGGTTTGGCTCAGCAGTTAGAGCGTCGGCCTGCGGTCCGAAGAGACCCGGGTTCGGTTCCCGCTAAGGGCACGTACTTCGGTTGCAGTTTGTCCCCAGCCCTGGTTGGTCGTGCGGGTGGCAGCCACTCGATGTATCCCTTTCACGTCGATGTTTCTCTCTCTCTCTCTCTCCCTCCCACTCTATCTGTACAAAAATTGGAAAAATGTCCTCGGGTGAGGATTAAAAAATAAATAAATATAAATAAAATAAAATAAAGTGTATATTTGAGTAGATTTTAGTATATTCACAAAGTTGTACACTAATTCTAGGACGTCATCACCTCCATAAGAAATCACATACCTATCAGCACTCACCCCTTATCCCTTCAGCCCGTGCCAGTTACTAACCTCATTTCTATCTTTATGGATTTGTGTATTCTGGACATTTAATGTCAATGGAATCATATAATATGTGGCCTTTAGTGTTTGGTTTATTTCACTTAACACAGTGTTTTCAAAATTCATTCATACTGTAGCACATCAGGACTTAATTCCTTTTTTTTTTATTAATGATTTTAGAGCAAGGAAGGGAGAGGGAGAGATAGAAACATTGATGAGAGAGAACATTGGCTGCCTCCTGCATGCCCCCACTGGGGATCGGGCCCACAACCTGGGTATAAGCCCTGACTAGGAATCAAACCAGTGACCTCTTGGTGCATGGGTCAACGTTCAACCACTGAGCCACACCAGCTGGACTTAATTCCTTTTTATGGCTGAATAATATCCCATGTATGGATATACCACATTTTATATATCCATTCATAAGTTGATAAGCATTTAGGTTTTTTTTTTTTTTGCTTTTTGGCTATTGTGAATAATGATGCTATGAACATTTATGTACTTGTTTTTATAAACATTGTTTTCGATTCCCTTGGGTATATATACCAAGGTGTAGCTTTCTGGGTCACACAGTAATTCTGTGTATAACTTTTTGAGGAATGGCAAAACTATTTTCCAAAGCAGCTGCATCATTTTACATTCCCACTAATGATGAATGAAAATTTCAGTTTCTCCAGATCCTTGCCAACAACTGTTATGTCTTTTTTATTAGAGCCATCCTAGTGTGTATGAAGTGGTAGCTCATTGTAGGTTTTTGTTTTGTTTTGAGGTATCAATTAATTCAAAGGATTGAAGTCATACAAAGCATATTCTCTGATTGCAATGGAACTAAACTACAAATCAATAACAGAAAAATAACTGGAAAATCTCCAAATATATGGAAACCGTATAATACACCTTTTTTTTAAATTCTCACCCAAGGATATTTTTCCATGTATCTTCACACAGAGTGGGAGGGAGAAAGAGAGAGAGAGAAAGAGAGAGAGAGAGACATCAATGTGAGAGAGACACATTGGCTACCTCTCGCACAACCCTGACCACGTCTGTGGACCGAACCACAACCAAGGTACATGCCACTGATGGGAATGGAATCTGCGACTCTAACCGCTGAACAAAACCAGCCAGGGCTAATACACTTTTTTTTTTTTTTTTTTCGTACAGATAGAGTGGGAGGGAGAGAGAGAAAGGGAGAGAGAGAGAGAAACATCGACGTGAAGAGACACATCGAGTGGCTGCCACCCGCACGACCAACCAGGGCCGGGGACAAACTTGCAACCGAAGTACGTGCCCTTAGCGGGAACCGAACCCGGGTCTCTCCGGACCGCAGGCGGACGCTCTAACCGCTGAGCCAAACTGGCCAGGGGCCTAATACACTTTTTAAAAAATTGTGGTAAAATATACATAATGAAGAATTTATCATTTTACCATTTTTAGTGTACAGTTTTAGTGACCTTAAGCACATTCACATTGTTGTGCTATCATCACCACCATCCATCTACAGAACTTTTCATCTTGCAAAATTCAAACTCTGTACCCATTAAGCAATAATTCCTAATTCCTGCCCGGCTGGTGTGGCTCAGTGGATTGAGCATCATCCCATGGACTGAGAGGTCCCCAGTTCAATTCCTGGTCAGGGCACATGCACAGCTTTCAGGCTTGATCCTCAGTAAGGGGCATGCAGGAGGCAGCTGATTGATGGAGTTCTCTCACATTGATGTTTCTATCTCTCTCCAAAAAAATCAATAAAAATATATTTTAAAAAAGCAACAACTCCTAATTCCCTCCAACCCCTGGCAATCAGTTCTACTTTCTATCTCTGAATTTTGACTACTCTAGGTACCTCATGTAAGTGCACTTATACAGTATTTGTCCTTTTGTGACTGCCTTATTTCACTAGCATAATGTCCTCAAGGACCATCCATGTTGTTGTAGCATGTGTTGGAATTTACTTTTTAAGGCTAATATTCCAGTGTATGTATATATCCTCATTGTCTAATGTCTAATGATGGTGAACATCTTTTCTTATGTTTATTGGCACATGAAAAAAAAGATATTGGATATCTTCTTTGGAGAAGTGTCTGTTCAAATCATTTGACCATTTGTTTTTTAATCCTTACCAAGTTTATCGTTTAAAGAGGGGAAGGGAGAGAGAAACATTGATGTGAAGAGAAACATCTATCAGTTGCCTCCTGTATGCACCCTGACCAGAGATCAAACCTGCAACCTAGGTATGTGCCCTGACTGGGAATCAGATACACAATCTTTGGTGTATGAGAAGACTCTTCATCCAACTAAGCCAGGGCCCTTCGCCCATTTTTAATTAAATTATTTGTCTTGTTGAATTGTAAAACTTTTTATATATTCTGGATATTAGTTCTTTATTATATTATTTGCAAATAATTCTCCTGAAGATTTTCTGTTTGCTTTCTTGTTGAAAACTTTGAAGCACAAATGTTTTTAATATTGATGAAATCTAATTTAACTATTTTTTCTCTTGTTGCTTGTGCTTTTGGTTTTATATCTAAAAACCTTTGCCTAATCCAGGTAATGAAGGTTCGTGCTTATGTTATCTTCTAAAAGTTTCTTCTAAGAGTTGTATAGTTTAAGCTCTAGCTTAAAACTATTTAAGCTCTAGCTTAAAACTATTTAAGCTCTAGCTTAAAACTATTTCATTTTTTTTTGTGTGGGGTGAGGTAAGAAGTCCAACTTTATGCTTTTGCACATGGATATCCAGTTGTCCCACCACCTTTTGTCAAAATGACTATCATTTCCCCCATTGGATTATCATGGCACTGTTGTCAAAAATCAATTGACTATAAATGTAAGGGTTTATTTCTGGACTCCAATTCTATTCCATTGATCTATTATGTCTATCCTTATGCCAGTACTGCACTGTCTTGATTAATGTAGCTTTGTAGTAAATTTTGAAATCAGGATATGTGAATACATCAACTTTGTCCTTTGTAAAGATTATTTTTAGCTATTTGGGGGTTCCTTATGTTCCCATGAGAATTTTAGAATCAGTTTGTCAATTCCTTCAATGAAGGCAGCTGGGATTTTGATAGATATTGCATGGAATCTGTAGATCAATTTAGGGAGTATTGTCATCTTAATAATATTGTCTTCCAATCTATGAACATGGGATGTCTTTCCATTATTTAGATCTTCTTTAATTTCTTTCAACAATGTTTTATGCTTTTCCATATGTCTTGCACTTCTTTTATTACATTTATTTCTACAAATTTTATTATTTTGATGCTATTATAAATAGAATTATTTCAATATCATTTTGATTGATTACTGCTAGCGTATACGATTGATTTTGTATATTGATCTTGTATCCTGCCACCTTGTGAACTTGTGTGTGTGTGTGTGTGTGTATTCCTTAGGATTGTCTGTATACAAGACGTCATATTTGAGTAGAGGTAGTTTTACTCTTTCCTTCCTACTTTGAATGCCTTCTTTCTTTTTTCCTGCCCTGGCCAGAACCTCCAGTATAATGTTGAGTAGAAGCAGCAAGAGCAGACATCCTTGTCTTGTTCCTGATCACAGGGCAAAAGCTTTCCATCTTTCACCATTAGGTATGATGTTAGCTGTGGGTTTTTCACAGATGCCTTTAATCAGATTGAGGAATTCCCTTCTGTTCCTAATTTGTTGAGTGTTTTTATCACAAAAAGATGTTGGATTTAGTCAAATGCTTTTTCTTCATCTTTTGAGATCATCTGGTTTCTGTTTTATTTATTTATATGGTGTTTTATTTATTAATATGGTGTATTGATTTTTGTATGTTGGCCCAACCTTGCATTCCGGGGATAAGTCCCAAGTTTTCATCATGTATAATCCTTTTTATATGTTGCTGGATTTTGTTGAGTTTTTCATCAGTATTCACAAGGGATATTCACCTTTTGTTTTCTTTCCCTGTAATGTCTTTCTTTGTCTGGTTTTGACATGAAGGTAATACTGGCTTAATAGAATGATTTGGGAAGAGTTTCCTCCTCTTCTGTTTTTTGGAAGAGCTTGTGTAGGATTAGTGAAGGATTCTTCTTTAAACATTTGGTAAAAAATCACCTGTGAAGCATCTAGTCCTGGGTTTTTCTTTGTGGGAAGTTTTTGATAACTCATTCAATCTTTTTACTTGTAAATCTATTCAGATTTTCTGATTTCTTCTTGACTCAGTTTCTGCAGTTTGAGTATTTCTAAGAATTTGCCCTGTTAATCTAAGTTTCTAAATTGTTGACATACAATTGTTGATAGTAATCCCTTTTATTTTTTAAGGTTGCTGGTGATGTCCCCTCTTTCATTTCTGATTTTAGTAATTTGAGCCTTTGGTCTTTCTTTCTTTATCAATCTAGCTAATGGTTTGACAATTTTGTTAATTTTTTTTTTTTTTATCCTCACCCGAGGATATTTTTCCATTTTTTGTACAGATAGAGTGGGAGGGAGAGAGAGGAAGGGAGAGGCAGAGAAACATCGACGTGAAGGGACACATCGAGTGGCTGCCACCCGCACGACCAACCAGGGCCAGGGACAAACTGCAACCGAGGTACGTGCCCTTAGCGGGAACCGAACCTGGGTCTCTCCGGACCGCAGGCCGACGCTCTAACCGCTGAGCCAAACTGGCCAGGGCTTGTTAATCTTTTTAAAGAACCAACTTTTGGGCCCAGCCAGTGTGGCTCAGTGGTTGAGCATCGACCCATGCACCAAGAGGTCACCAGTTCGATTAGCCCCAGTGAGGGGCATGAAGAAGGCAGCCAAACGTTGTTCTGTCTCATCGATATTTCTATCTCTTTCTCCCTCTCCCTTCCTCTCTCTCTAAAATCAATAAAGAGGAAAAAAAAGCAACTTTTGGTTTCATTGACTTTCTCTTTTTTTCTAGTCTCTATTTTATTAACTCCTACTTGAATTGTATTATTTCCTTCTTTCTGCTTGTTTGGGCTTGGTTTGCTCTTATTTTTCTAGTTTCCTAAGGTAGAAGTCTATCTTACTGATTTGAGGGGACTTTCTTTTTAAATTGAGAATAGAGTTAGTGAGTTTATTTCTTAAAATGTTTCCAGAATATGGTTATGAGGGAGAATTAGCCTTTTGGAATTTTCTAAGGAAAAAAATTCTGTTTACTTTTTTTTTTTTTTTTTTATCCTCACCGGAGGACATTTTTCCATTTTTTGTTCCGGTAGAGTGGGAGGGAGAGAGAGGAACAGAGAGAGAGAGAGAGAGAGAAACATCGATGTGAAAGGAACACATCGAGTGGCTGCCACCCACACAACCAACCAGGGCCGGGGACAAACTGCAACCGAGGTACACACCCTTAGCGGAAACCGAACCCGGGTCTCTCAGGACCGCAGGCCAACGCTCTAACCACTGAGCCAAACCGGCCAGGGCAGCTGTTTACTTGTTTAGATAGATATTCAAAACTGAAAATGAGTCAGCAAAAGAACAGAATCTAGTGCACAAATAAAACCTGCAGTCAAAGTTGGAAGTGCTTTTGTTCACTTTTGGTTCAGATAAATCACGTTGCAATTTAAAGACTTATTTGACTGTTACAACCTTATGCTCAAAACTCAACACAATCATTCTTACAGCTAGTTAGTATATAAGGTAACTCTTAAGAACTAGGGCTTGACAATTTCCCTAGGGTAATTTGAAGAAAAGAGTGAAGTTATTACACAAAATCAGTTGGATGTGGAGTCTTCCTCAGAATCCATCCTCCACATTTTTTTTGCCACCATCTTCCACACTTAAAGCATGCTATAGGTATCTCCTATTTTCTTCATTCATTAATTTCCTTTGTATCCCTTAAATTGTTACTTATTTGACTGCAGTCTCTTGTTCATTATGCATTATGTCTTTGCTTTGAACATATGATTTGATGGATACTTCAGTTTCTAATCAAACATGGTTTTGCTGTGCATAACTTTTCTTTGTCCAACTCCAGCAATTTCCCACATTTACTACTCTGGCATGTAGGCATGCAGTCATGTTAACTCCATTTTCTTTTGTAATCCAATCCCTTCTATTTAGATAGATTACTTTAACAATAACTTTGATAACATCCTTACTTGGAAATTTTACAAAAATAAAATTACCTCTAAAGCATTGGTACCTTTCCAAATGTTCGGCAATTCCACAGTTTAATGACTTAAAGGGAAAACACTGGAAAGGCTAAGAAAAGAGCAAATACAATGATTAGATGGTCTTCATATGCTTTTTCAACTTTAAAGGCATGATTATTTAGAAGAAAAGAAAGTAAAGTGCAAAACCTAATAGATATATAATTTCATGAAACTTTGTTTTTCAGAGGCTGATCATTAGTTGCCTTTTCCTACTCTAGAAGGATGACAAAAAGTGGGCTTTGGATGCAACATAAAGACAGTGGGTTAGACAGTTCTCTATAGGGAGAACAATGGAATGAGTTGCCCAGGAAATTGTGAAATACTCTCGAATGATCTTTAAAGATATAATGGACACTTATTCATCTGGATTTGTTTAGGTGTGGTCCTGGTTAAAGACAAAGAGAAGGATCAGATAACCTCATGTTGTCTCTATTTAATATACCTAGTAGATTCTTGGTTAGAAGAAGGGAAATCTACAAGATACAGCCCAGTATCCGAACAATATTTAGCTTTAGGGAATCATTTTGAAAGCATCTGATTTTGTCTTAAGTCATTAGTATTACATAGTGAAAAATTCTAGTGCCTGGGTTTTACAGGGTAGAAGAAGGAAATGAAGTCAAATGGCCAACACCTCATATTAAAATCAGCAATGAGATTCTTCTTGCTGTTCTGTTTTGACTGTTCTGGACAATATCAAATTAGTTTCAGTGGCTTGATTTTAGGCCAAGATTCTGGTAACAGATTGTAGTCTTGCTTTGTTTTGTTTAATCTCACCCGATTTTTCTCTCTTGTTTTTTTCTTTCCCTTAGGCTGAAAGTAAAAAGCTGGGATTGGTAGGCTGGGTCCAGAACACTGACCAGGGCACAGTGCAAGGACAATTGCAAGGTCCCATCTCCAAAGTGCGTCATATGCAGGAATGGCTTGAGACAAAAGGAAGTCCCAAATCACACATCGACAGAGCAAACTTCAGCAATGAGAAAGTCATCTTAAAGTTGGATTACTCAGATTTCCAAATTGTAAAATAATGACCTGAATTTAAATTTTCCAAGAGAAACTCAGTGGTTTTGTTTTTTATTGTTAACAGAGATAGAATTATTCTGAGTCTAATATTAGAATTTGTCAGTAAGTTATTTTAGTATCAGATACCTGAATATTACTGTATATAATATGCATGATGGAAGGAATGATTACAACTGTAAACAGTTCTAATAAAAACACATCAGAACTGTCTGTGTAGGGTGAAATTCATTTTGGGCAAAATAAGAGATAAACACCAGTAAAGATAACATTGAGGTAATTTAAAGAGGTTTGGAAGAAAAGGGTACTTTGAGTCATTTCTTTAAATGGTCTCAATGAAGTTTTCTTCAGGAAATTGCTCACCTAATAAGAACAAATACACGTTCAATTTGTTAGCAACTCAAATGATGTTTTGGACTCATTACTTTTAATTTTCTTGAGTTTTTGTTGTCATTCCTTTTCTCTGGGTAAGGAATTCACAAAAAGCAATGTTATGGGCTAAATTATGCATCCTCCTACCCCCCCATTCATAAGCCCAGCACCTCAGAATGTGACTGTATTTGAAGACAGGGCCTTTAAAGAGGTAATGAAGGTTAAATGAAGTCATTAGGGTGGGCCCTAATCCAGTATGCCCCAGTGTCCTTATAAGAAGAGGAAATTTGGACATAGCATGTGCATGCACAGAGGAAAGGACATGTGAAAACAGGGAGAAGCCAGCCATCTATAAGACAAGGAGAGAGTCTGGAGAAGAAATCAACCATGCCTTACACCTTGATCTCAGATTACTAGCCTCCAGAACTGTAACAAAATAGTATCTGTAGATTAAGCCACCCAGTCTGATGGTCTATTGTGGCAAATTAATATAAGCAATAGTTAGGATTTTGCTTCATTAGCCCTACAAATCTTCTGATTGGTTTGGTCAGCTATTAAGTAGGTATATATCAAATGCTTACTGGGTTTGACAAAATTGTCACAAATTCCAATTTTTAAAAATACATGGTTTTGCCCAGCCAGTGTGGCTCAGTGGTTGAGCATCGATCCATGCACCAAGAGGTCGCCGATTCGATTCCCGGTCAGGGCACATGCCCTAGTTGTGGCCATATGCCCACTGGGCCCAATCCCCAGTGGGGGCTATGCAGGAGGCAGCCAATCAATGTTGTCTCTTATTGGTGTTTCCATCTCTCTCCCTCTCCTTTCCTCGCTCTCTAAAATCAATAAAGAAAAAATAAAGATTTAAAAAATATTTTTAAATAGTTAAAAATATATATACAGTTTCGACACTCCCCTCCCAGGAGCACGCCCTCATCTTTCCCCTCCTTCCACCACAAAATAAAATTAAATGAAAATTGCCCTGGCCGGTTTGGCTCAGCGGTTAGAGCGTCGGCCTGTGGTCCAAAGAGACCCGGGTTTGGTTCCCACTAAGGGCGCGTACCTTGATTGCAGTTCGTCCCCAGCCCTGGTTGGTCATGCGGATGGCAGCCACTCAATGTGTCCCTTTCACGTCGATGTTTCTCTCTCTCTCTCTCTCTCTCTCTCTCTCTCTCTCTCTCTACCCCCTCCCCACTCTATCTGAACAAAAAATGGGAAAATGTCCTCGGGTGAGGATAAAAAAATAAAAATAAAAAATTAAAATTAAAATACAAGGTTTCAATGAAAACTAGACAGCAAAAACTGGTTAATGATTCCCAAAACACCTATTTTCCTTTTTTCTAATCCTCACACGAGGATATTCCTCCATTTTTGTTCAGATAAAGTGGGAGGGAGATGGAGAGAGGGAGAGAGAGAGAAACATTGATGCAAGAGGAATATATGGAGTAGTTGCCTCCCATACAATCAGGGCGGGGGACCAACCGCAACCAGGGTGGAATCGAACCCACAACTCATCAGTCTGCAGGCCTACACTCTAACTGGCCAGGGCCCAAAACACCTATTTTTACAGTGTTCTTAGAGTTCCATTCTCATTCTGTTAGAAAAGAAGCTGTGGTGGCCCTGGGTGGTTTGGCTTAGCCATTGGAGCTTCCGCCATGGACCAGAGTCTCAAGTTCAATTCTGGTCAAGGGCATGTACCTGGGTTGTGGTTCCTCCCCAGCCCTGGTTGGTTGTGTGAGAGGCAGCCAGTCAATGTGTCCTGCTCACATTGATGTTTCTCTCTCCCTCCCTCCCACTCTATCTTAAGATAAATAGAAAAATGTCCTCGGGTGAGGATTAAAAAATAAATTAAAAAAAAAAGCTGTGGTGTATTGGGAAGACACCCAAAAAGGCAATGAAGGGGTCTTGGTGTCATCTGTAAATTAAGAGAGTTGAGTTCCTTTCTCAGTCTTCCCAGCTCTTAAACGCTTTAATTTGATGAAATGGAAGGCTCTGGATTTGTTTGTTCATCGACTGCCTAACATAAGCTAGACACTGTTCTTGCCCGTGGGAATAGAGCAGTAAACAAAACAGGCAAAATCCCTACTTTCATATGGCTTACATTCCAGTGAGAAGACAGACAATAAGCAAACAAGATAAAATATTGAATTAAATGGTAGTGCGTGCAAAGGAGAAATGAGAAAGAGGAAATTAAAAAAATTGCTGGAAAGTTTTTCACACCGTTCTAAAAGGGATAGGACTACGAATTGGGAGTACCAGTGCGAAAAATCCTTGAGTCCATGAGTGCGCGTGCGCACTCAGGTGTCAAGGACGAAAGGGACTTCCCGGCGAATCTCAGAAGCGCATGCTCCGGCCTCGCGCGTGCACGAGCCTCACGAGCCAAGGAGCGCGCAGCCGACGCCGAGGCGGTTGGTACCCGGAGTTGGTAAAGCGTCATTTGAGGTGACTTGGGGGAAAGTGCTGACGCAAGGATTCCGGGAGTTCTTCTAACACCTGAAGGGTCGTAGTGACCGCTGCGGGCCAGCTTTCCAGACCCGGCTACGCAGGAGGGGCTCCTGGAGACCTCGCCGCCTTCCTTTTCCGCAGGCGCCCACGTCTGGGCGGGCCCGGCTTTAGGGTTGCGAGTCGGGGGTGGGGCCGGGGTGGAGCCTGAGCCTGGAGGGCCGCAGCCGCAGCCCGGTCTCCCAAAGCTTTGTATTGCTTTAGAAATAATCAGATATGCAATCATAGCTCTGATTTGCCCGAGTTTGAGAAACTAGCCCTGCCCCGAAAGAGGTCTAGACCATGCCGCTTTCTTTCACCTATGAAGAAAATAGGACCTTTAATTGCACTGTAATCTTTTTTTTTTCTCACCTGCGAGAAAACTTAAAAAACAAGATTAGACAGCCCCTTACCATCATTGTTATTGCCAAGGTAGTTTGTAGCCATTGTAAAGACCAAAAGAGTATTAACACAAAAGGATAATAATAAGAAGAACCTTCTGAAAGCTTTTCATCAAAGTAAAATAAAATGATACAGAAAGGTTTATTTTATTTTTTATTTTTATTTATTTTTATTTTTTATTTTTTTTATCCTCATCCGAGGACATTTTTCGATATTTTGTTCAGATAGAGTGAGAGGGAGAGAGAGAGAGAGAAACATCGACGTGAAAGCGACACATCGAGTGGTTGCCACCCACACGACCCAACCAGGGCTGGGCACAAACTGCAACCAAGGTACATGCCCTTAGCGGGAACCGAACCCGGGTCTCTCCGGACCGCAGTCCGACGCTCTAACCGCTGAGCCAAACCGGCCAGGGCCAGAAAGGTTTATAATGAAAAGGAATTTTCCTGCCTTATCTTTTCCCATTCCCAGTCTCTTTCCCCATAATAGTAATAGTTACTATTAATAATAATCTCTTAATGCCCATCTTTTCTTGATACAATAATCTCACTTTATTTTCTCCTGTTCCTTCACCTTCTTATTACAATGTCTTAATACTTATACATTATGATTTTTTTTCTAAGTCATGTTTATTGTATAATGTATAAATGTTATGAAACTAGCTTGGATTTTTTTGTGTGAATAATTTTTTTAAGCTAATGTTTGCGGAATTTAGGCATCTGTTTTTGATGAAGTGATTAGAATTTTGAACACTGTCTTTATGGGTCAACTTCAAATGTGATTATGATTTCACTTTTGGGCATGTGGGATTTAGACAGGGTCAGTGAAAATTATGAAATTAGCAGGGCTGCTTTAGATGTTAAGTCCATTGTGTCAAACCTGAGCTGTGTGATCTGCCTAGAGATCAGAGCTATAATTTGTTTTGTTTTACAATGTGGTTTAATAAGAGATTTCATTTACGTCAAATGATATTATTTCATAATGCTTTAGAGAAATGGGTAATGCTATTTAACTCTGAAGCTTTGATACGTGTGTGTTTTGTTTTTCTCCCAAAGGCAATTATTTACAGTCAGAGAAGGAAACCACTGCCTGGCATTTTCACCAGCTTTCTACCTGCCATGATCAAGTGCTTGTCAGCTGAAGTACAAGCCAAATTGCGTTCTGGTTTGGCTGTGTGCTCCCTAGGCCAATGTGTGGAGGAGCTTGCCCTCAACAGTATTGATGCTGAAGCAAAATGTGTGGCTGTGAGGGTGAACATGGAAATCTTCCAAATCCAAGTGATAGACAATGGATTTGGGATAGGGAGTGATGATGTAGACAAGGTGGGAAATCGTTATTTCACTAGTAAATGCAACTCCGTACAGGACTTGGAGAATCTGAGGTTTTATGGTTTCCGAGGGGAGGCCTTGGCCAGTATAGCTGACATGGCCAGTGCTGTGGAAATTTCATCTAAGAAGAATGGGACAATGAAAACATTTGTGAAACTGTTTCAGAATGGAAAAGCCCTGAAAGCATGTGAAGCCAACTTGACTAGACCAAGTGCTGGGACAACAGTAACAGTATATAACCTATTTTATCAGTTACCTGTAAGGAGGAAATGCATGGATCCTAGACTGGAGTTTGAGAAGATTAGGCAGAGGATAGAAGCTCTCTCACTCATGCACCCTTCCATTTCTTTCTCTTTGAGAAATGATGTTTCTGGTTCCATGGTTCTTCAGCTCCCTAAAACCAAAGACATATGTTCCCGATTTTGTCAAATTTATGGACTAGGTAAGTCCCAAAAGTTAAGAGAAATAAATTTTAAATATAAGGAGTTTGAGCTTAGTGGCTATATCAGCTCTGAAGCCCATTACAATAAGAATATGCAGTTTTTGTTTGTGAACAAAAGGCTAGTTTTAAGGACAAAGTTACATAAACTCATTGACTTTTTATTAAGGAAAGAAAGTATTATATGCAA